ACGCCTAGACCGTTCGTATTCTTGCTGTTTGTGTAGTTTTCAGCGTGTTTGATGCAAATCAAAGATGGCGGAACATAAAATGTAAGCGCGAATTCTATTGGTTTGAATCGGAGGCTTGATCGGCCTACAACCAATCAGATCGTTTGTTACAGTTCCCACGTTCGACGCATTTCGCGATCATTCGGCAAGCTTGAATTAAGACTCGTATGCCCAGGTCGATGAGTGATGCCATTTGTTGATCAAACGTGCAAGAAAACGCAATTTTGAAACAATTCTGGAGTTCCTATCGATATTTATTATATATTTGGTCTTGCAATCATAATTAATAATGGAACGTTTTTTTTTAAATATAAATTTATGGTCGGTCACAAAGACTGATGGTTTTTCACAGCTCTAGGCCCTTTACACCCACTGTCGGCGTGAGGCCGACGGACCGACGTTAATTTCGAACACTGCGCTGTACTGTCTTTGTGCATACTTTGCAGTATCCTCGTAATAACCTCATATTAACATCATTAACAAACAAGTCATTGAATCTGGTGTAACAATTACAGCCTCGCATATTGAGAATCTAAATTTAAAATCAAGGCTAACAACATAATACTCCCAGCTAAAAGAGCTTGGCAAATGTAAGAAAATGCAATTTACAGTTTTTTTATACAGTAGAATATTGATTATCCGGACGTTGATTATCCGAAATGTTCGGTTATCCGAACCTACTGTGTGTCCCCTAAAGTTAGTATGCATGCCTGGCTGTGTTCCGTATAATACAAAAGTCAACTGTGAACAATAAATACTACAGTCGTCTTGTGTGATTTCCTGGTGCAACACTTTCAATAAAGCTATTATCAACATGTAATCCGACGTCTTTCACGTGTACGTTTGTTTACAGTGTCTGCGCAAACAATGAAACGAATTACAGTATCCAATAATTTCCTAATTCAGACAAGCCTATTATGCAACACCAGTATTCCACTGTAAATAACAAATGTCCTAAAACACAAACTTCATCAAATGTCTTCTCCACTGTTTACAGTCAAATCCTTAACTTCACCAAGTTGTAAGTCACCGTAGTTCGGATACGTTTCCCGGGAAAATTGTACGGGGTTCACTGCCGTCAAAGAAAAACGCGGCAATGAGCCGATCCCATGTTTTTTTCCAATTTTTAATTTTAATGTCCAGTATCAGAGTCACATCCTTTT